GTCCATTCCTTTCAGAGGGGCTTTGGTTAACACCCATTATGGTCTCCTCCTCAACATAGGCTTTCAGGCTCTTTGATCAGCTGCATGTGCTCAACCCAACAACAACACCCCCACACCACACACACACCACCACACACACATACCACACACATACACATACACACCCACAGCGCACGCGCGCGCACACACACACACACACACACACACACGGAGAAGAATTTTCATGAGACCGGGGTTTCCCAGGTCTGAGGAGAAAGGAAGAAATGAGGGTGTTCTAGAGCTCCCTGAAACGTAGCCCGGCACTTGCGTCCCAGCAGTGCCACCGGCCAAGAAGGACAAATGCATCCGGGCAGACGGGGCCCTAGGCCGCCCTGCCAAGCATTCTTGGGCTCTGAGTCGGCCTCGGAAGCTGGGAGCGCTGCAGCAGGGAAGGGGTTCAGATCGGGCTGGTGGGCTTGGGCGGAAGAGGGCCCAGGTCGGCGGGCCCTTCCCGCCTTGGGGTTGCGTGACGTTCTAACACTGGAGCACCAGCTGGGGGAGCTGGCGCGCGGGGACCCCCAGGGAAGATTAAGATTGTTTTCCTCCAAGTCTGGTAGAGGGAGGTTCATAGTCAGAAACTAGGGTGCATGAGAGAGCAATTTTTAAAGTTTTACTCTTTACGCAGCGGAGTTCGTGGACTGATATTCACACCCCTACACATTTATCGAGCACTTTCTTCATGCCAGGCCAGCTCTTGGTGCCAGTTTCTCATCCGCATCTAATGAGCCTATGGAAGTCACTGCTCAGGACAGGCCGTGAGAGAGCTGTGGCCCAGCCAACCACGTGGGACAGCAGTGGCAGGGTGGGGGCGGGGAGCGAGGTCTTACCCCTTCTGGGAGAACTTCATGGCCGTGTGGATGGGGTAGCCGCCAGGCCCCAGGATGTTACACCGAGCATTGCACAGCAGCAGCACGCGGACCATCTCCTGCTTCCCCATCTGGCACGCCAGGTGCAGCGGGGTCTGCCCTTGGTTATTCATCTGGTTCAGGCCGGCAGATGCATTCTTCCCTAGAAGCTGGCAGCACCACAGTGGTGTGGGCTGGAGCCCAACACAGAAGCCCCTGCACGTCCCTCCCCTAACATCCACCGTGACAGTCTCTCTCCGGGACTGAAGGGAAGGGAAACTGGACTCTACAAGAACACTGAGAACTTAGAGAAGCAACAAAGAAAGGAGGACATGGAGGAAAAAAGAAGCTGACTGAGCCAGTGTTGGCTGGGGCATTGGTCTGGCATGGCGGTGGCACGTATGAGAAATTCTGAATCAAGAAACTAAAAATGCGGGTGTACCCAGGGATGGCACTGGGGGCCGAGGGTGGGGGAGTGATTCTTGCTTCCCATTATACACCCTTCTGTTCTGCTTGAATTTTTTTGCTATGTGCAGATATCATTTTTTCAATTAAAAAAAATACCAGTATTAAAAAGCAAACTGGGAGGCATTTGTTTCCTCAGCTGAAGGCTGTCTCCCTGAGGTTAAGTGCGATTTCTGTGAGTTCCCATATGACCAGCTGAGCCTGTCAGCAGCCTGGGGACACAGCAGGGAGGCCCGACTCAGGGGCCAGCCCGACTACTCAGTTCTGTGGCCCTCCCTGGGCACAGTTAACGTCACTGAACTTGTTTCTTTAGCGAGGAGAGGAGGATAGTGACCCTCACTCACAGTGGGTATTCTGAGAATTAACGAGAACATATACAACACCCAGGCATGTGACTGGCAGATGATAAGGGACAGGTACCGTTGTACGTGACAGTGGATAGTGCATGCCCTCTGCCCGCGGCAGGATGTGCACGGCCCTGCGCCGGGCATGCAGTGGATTCTCAGGCAGGGTGGAGCGCCACAGTCGGGGTGGAACCCCCTTCCCCAAGAGCACTAAATCACTGGGCATGTCCACATTTTCTGGAATCACGTAGTTCCATTCTGATGCCAAGGCAGAGACAAGGGTATACCTTTAGAGGAATCTTCTAATTCCAGGCAATAAAATATTGTCCAGTATTCTGTCTTTTCTATCTAATATTGAAAATAGCTTTTTAATAAAATCACTGGATCTACGCACCCGCAATTTTAATTTTTCTGCCCAGTTAATCAAACTTTGAACAGAAGGAGCACCTCTGGCGCAAATGCCTGAAGGAGCCAGATAGAGTCTTGTTTTGTTTGTTTTGAGTTTCTATAAAAAGTTAAGCTCAGGTCCTTCCAGGCCATGTGCGCCTCCAGGCAGGGGTTGAAGTGAATTCGGGTTGAAGTGAAGCGGCCCAGGGGTCCACACCGGAGCTGCTCAGGTAAAGCCGAACTAAACTCACAGTCTGGACTGGGCCTTGAGTGTAGTTTGCTGGGTTGGAGGACTTTCCCAGGGTCGTCAGAGCAAAGTGGCCAAGGATGTGTTTCCTTGACAAATGTGGGGAGGGAGGAATGGGGGTGGGGCGCACCCTCCAAAAAGAAGCTCAGGCCTCAAGGGCCAAGCAGAGATAGTGAGAGGCCCAGAGTGACATCTGAGCCCAGGGGTCCAGAGAGAGCTGTGGGCACAGCAAAGTATCACTGGTACTGGTTGCCCTATCTCCACCTCTGCTCACCTGCAGCACGTGGGAATTGTCACCCTGGACGGCATAATGGAAGGCCGTCTCTCCGTTGTTGTCCGTGACGTCCATCTGGGCATGGCAGTACTGCACCAGCTCCACCAGGATCTCCCCGTCACCCTTGCGGCAGGCCAGGTGCAGGGGCGTGCAGCCCTCCTCGTTCTCCGTGCTGTTGGCGCAGCTGCGGGGAGGGCCGGGGAGGTGAGGGGCATGGCACGAGGTGGGAGGGGGGCGCTGAGAAACCCAAGTGCAGAAGAAGGAAGTGGGCTAGGAGCTCAAGAGCACTCGTGTCGTGCTCAAGCTGGCTGGTTCAAACTTAGGGCTGAGTGGCAATTTCTCTGTATCTAATGTGATTCATATCAGTTTTTAGTTCAGGTTGCACATCTGTATGGGAGATACGCCCTAGGGCCACACCCAGCCTGAAGTGGGCAGTGGGTGGCACAGAAAGGATGCAGAAGGCAGAAATCTCACTACCCTTGGGCAATTCATTTAACTTCTCTGGAGTTCAATATCCTTATGTACGAAAAAATAAAAACATTACCTGCCACGCCTAACCTGGGAAATGGACAGCGATGAGATTAAATACCTGATGTTCAAGAACAGGCCTGTCAACAGTAAAGGGCAGCCCGGATTTCTGAGCTTTGGGCCTGGGAGCCGACGTGAGCTGGGAGAAGGACCAAAGGAGGCTCCCTCAGGGCAAAGCACAGCTGCAGTCCTGTGACCAGCACGGTGGTAGCTTCACCCGGAGGCATCCACTGATATGAGTGTTGGCTGAATGAATGTATGAAAGTAAGTGGTCCAGCTCCCAGAGGGGCGACCTCACTGGTGAGAGGAGACCTCAGGGATCTGAAGCCTCTTCGGCCTCTCTGGCTGAGTGACCCTGCATAGGTCACAGAACCTCTCACTAGGATGACAATACATCAAGGGGTTTTTGGGAGGATTCAAGTTCGTGGTGGGTATCAAATAGCTACCATGGGCCTGGCACCTGGTAGGTATTCCAGAAATGTTACATTTCTCCTTCCGACCTCGGCCAGCATCCTTATGCTCCAACCTGGAGGCAATGCTGCCCCTTTTTAACTCAAACGTTCTGGGAAACCTTTGAGTTTATGGAGGGGAACCGAGGCAGGATGGAGAGATTCCCCACGGCCCCGCCATCCACACACACACTCTACCAAGAGGAGTCCTGTCCCCCTCTCCCACCCAGCAAGGGCCCCCTCCTACCTGATGATGCGGCTGTGATGGAAGCACTCTCGGATCCCCAGCTCCACCGCCAAGTGGGCCACCGACCAGCTGGGGTGGCTGCGGATGAGGTCGGTCAGCTGCTGCAGGACCTCGGTGTGCAGGATGTGGGAGGAGCTCTCGTAGAAGGGCGGCAACTGGGACGAATACTGCTGGAAGTTCACCAGGGCATCGGCCTCCGTGTCCAGCTGAAAGAGCCTGAGCAGCCAGGACCGAGGAGGAAAATACGGAAATGAAGCCTTGGGTCCCTACGAGCAGGCCGCTGCCTGCCTCCAGCTGTGCACTCACCCACTCCAGCTGGACTCCCTACTCCTACTTCCCGCCACATCTAAAATGGAGTCAGGACTTTCTTTTCATTCAAATGTATTTCCTTTTCTTTTTTTCTTTTTTAAAAATCTCATCCTGTGGTGCTTTTAAATTTTATTTTACCAAAGCCCTGTCACATCCACTTTCTAATTTGATTACCACATCTGAGAGGCCTGGCCTCAAGTCCCCGGTCGCGCACACACAGTCGGAAGGAAATAAGTGCTGTTTAACCTAAATGTCCTGCAACAGAACATTACATATAAATTGTGGTACGTCTATGTGGTAGAATATTATGCAGCCAGAAAAGTGAGATATTAAAAGACCAGGGAAATGTTATTTTGTGATGTTAAGTTACAAAGCAGGATACAAATTTTGTATGATACATGATCTAAACTATTTTAGAAAAGACTGAAAGGAAGTATGTCAAAATGTGCACAGTAGCATAATTTAAATGTTCTTTATCCATTCCTGTTGTTTACAAATTTTCTATAACAAGTCTATAAATTTTTATAATCAGAGAGAAAGGTTTCGTTCACTTTTAAAGAGTCATGTTTGAGCCGAAGATCTGCTATTAAGTTGCTGTGCGAACCTGGAAAAACCTCTTCCCTCTCTGAGCCCTATTTGAAACACGAGAGTAATTGTCCTACCTACCTCACAGAGGTACTGCGAGGACCAGATGTGACAGTAATGTAAAAGCATTTCAAAAACTGTAATAATTACATGTCGGTGACGTTACTTGAAGTTCTGACCAGGGTTTCCAACATACCAGGTTTTCTTCCTACACAACTCTGCAAGCCCAGCAGCCAGCCAGGGTCTAGCGGAGGTAACGCCTGGAAAGCACGAGCCAGCGCGATGGGGCCACCCTGCTCTTTCCCAGAGAGAGCAACTGCTGAGCACGTGACCCGTGCCTGTCAATGTTCTAACTGAAGGATAAATGAATGGACAAAACGGACAACGTGCCCTGCCCTCCTGAAGCCCAGGTTCTCATGGGGGAGGAGATCAACAAAATGAGAAAGGCAAAAACCCAACTAAGGAAGTACACGAAATGGACCATCAGGTAAAAAGTGCTATAGAAAAAAACAAAACAAGCAGCAAAGGGGGACGTGGAAGGGCCATTCCTCATTGTCCCTGGCTGGTTTTCGTTTCATCTCACCAACCTCTTGACATCGGGGTGCTCCACATCGAATGTTGCTGCTGTGTCAGATATAATGACAACTGAAAATTGGTCACTGGAAATGGTACCTTTGAGGCATGGAGTGACCTTGATGAGAGTACTTTTGGTGGCGCGTGGGCACCAAAGCCTGACTGGGAGGGGTTTAAGAAAGGACGGGATGTGAGAAATTGGAGACAGCTAGTACAGACAATGTGGAGTTTTCTGTAGGGGGGGCAAATAAAGGTAGCTAATGGGGCAAGTGTAATCAGGCTTTTGAATGCTGATGGGAATAATCCAAAAGAAAACAGGATCTCTCTGAGGACTTCCATTTCCATTAATGGCAGCGGACAAGGTAACGTGAACCAGATTGCCTGCTGAGGACTACCAGAAATGCTAGATAAAATATAAAAACATCTGCTCGAGGCAATGGATACCTAATCAGACAGTGAAGAGATCATGGAAATCCAGGAAGTCGGCCTGGTGTTTAGGATGCTGTTAACTTGAGAGGCTGAAGGGGGACACGCATTAACAATCTCAGAGGGAGAGGGCAGGGATTGGAGGCCAAGGGTCTACAAAAGGGAGAGCCCTGATGACCACCTCTTACTCTGGGTTGGGATCCTGAAAGTCTACACCCAGGGAATAAGGGTGGATTACAAGGAGACAGACCCTCACAGGGACTGCAGCTCAGCCTCAGATAACTTCGGCTCTAGAAACTGGACTGAGGTTATCCTGAGTGAGCTGTTCCCAGGTACCTGTGAGAAGCAAACATAAAGGAAACATCAAACTAGGCTTCAAATTATTTCTACAAGCATTGTTGCAAACCCAAGGTCGGGGACATAATCAAAACTCACCAGGCACGTGAGGAGATACGACGACATGAAAGAAAATCAACAGAAACAGATCTATAACAGGGGTGGGTTGGGAGGTTGCAAATATTAAAGTGATCAGACACAGACTTTACAATAACTGTGATAAGATCCAAGAGGATAAAATAAAAGCTTTACAATTTTGGCAAAGAACTTTTTAACTTACTAAAAAAGAACCAAGTGGAAATTATGGAATTATAAAATGCCATTGTCAAAATTAAGAATTCGATGGCTAGATATAAATAGCAGATTAGACAATGCTGAAGAGAAAACTAGTGAACAGGAGATAGGTCAGGAAAGAGTAAACAGAATAAAGCATGGAGAGACAAAAGCTTGGAAAATGCAGGAAAGTAGATAAAAGATATAGAATACATCATGGAAAGAGCTAACAGACATGTAAGTAGAGTCACAAAAACAAAAGAGAAGAATTGGACAGAAGTCATATGTGAAGATTAATAACCGTGAACTTTCCAAAATTGACGAAAAACATTGATTTAAAATACCCTATGAGCCCTCTTCCACCAAAAAAGAAAAGAAAGAAAAGAAAAGAAATCTATACTTAGGGACTTCTGCAGATTTTAAAACATGGCCCCAAATTCTTTGATACTCCTCCCACTGGGAGAGCATTTATGTCTCTTTACCTTTTGATCCGGCTCTGTAACTGCTTTACTAGTAGAATATGGTAGAAGCGATGCTGCCCTAGTTTCTGGACCAAGGCCTTAAAGAACTAGAAGCTTCTGCTTTGTTTTCTCTTGGGACCTAGCCATCATACCATAGGGAAACTGAAGCCCCCATGGAGATGGCTGTTGGCCCTGGACCCTTAGCCCTGTATGAACTCCCAGCCAAGAGCCAGTACCACTTGCCAGTTGGAAGTGAATCATCTTAAAAGTGGATCCTGCAGTCAAGCCACCCCACCTAAGGCCATGTAGGACAGAATTGAACCTTTCCCACTGAGCTCCACTCAAATTGCTGATTCGTGAGCTAAGTAATTGATAACGTTTTCAACTACTAGGTTTGGGTGGTAGTCTGTAACACAGCAGTACTAGAGAATGACACATATTGGGGAATGACACATATTGTTATGTTACAATAACAATAACAATAACTGACGTGCCATATTACAACTGCTAAAAACAAAAGGCAAAGAGAAAATATTATAAATAGCAGAGGAGAAAAAGGTTATCTTCGAAGAGCAAGCATGGCTTCTCAACAGTGGAAGCTGGAGATGACGAAGGAATGACATCCTTAAAGACCTAAAAGAAGTGCCATTGAGAATTCAACACTGAGAGAAAAAAACCCCTTCAAGTATGAAGTTGAAATGAAAACATTTCATCAGAGAGAGAGAGACAGAGAGAGACTGTCCTTAGTCAACCTACACAAAAGGAAATATAAAAACATTTTCGTCAAGCAGAAGGAACTTGATCCCAGATAGATGGTCAAAGATAAAGATGCAGAAAAAAATGAAGCACCATGAAAACGGTAAATATGTTGGCGAATCAAAATAAATATTGACAGTATGTCTTGTTGGGTTTAAATTAAAAATGTTAATAAAAAACTGCACATGGCATAGAAGCCTGGAGGGAGATAAATGCAGTTAAAATGTTCTAAGACCTGTTTATTATTCTGGAAGATTCTAAAGTACCAATTATACTTCAGTAAGGCCAAGGATGTCTGTTACAATCTCTAAGTTTCTATCAAGAACTGTGAAAGGTTTCAGATTTTACCCTAGTTGCAAACTAACAAGTTAACCTGACACAGTTTCATGGATGCTGGCAGGAGACACAAGATTCCTGGATCAAAGACAAAGCGCAATTTATTACTCACAGCAATAACAGTAGCCAGAGTATCAGCATTTGTGCCAATTCCCTGGGATCCAGTTCCCACAGGGTGACATGAAGAGGGTCAAGTGACACCTGTTCATGTTGCATTAGAAGAGAGAAACCCTGAGTGCAGGGAACTTGAATCTTTTATAATTATCAATAAGCAAATCTGTCTAAGCTCTGTTCTGAAGGAAGATGTTATCTTTATCATACATGAGAGTACACCTACCCTCTGCTCTCCAAAGAGACCCCATCTCTATCTTCTCTATCTTCCAAAGCTGTTCACTATACAAACATCCTTGTAAAGATAGCCTGGGGAAAATATCGTCAGTGTTTCTGCTCGCAAGCTGTGCAAAAACATGAGAGACCCATGGAGAATTGTCTCCTAACAGTGATCACTAAAAAATAATAATACAGTGTATGACTTCCAATCTAATTAAGAGAAAATGGAATAAGAAACCAATCATTAATTGAGAAAGATTAAGTGAAAAAAAGTCAAACTCATAAGACTACATGCTATATGATTGAAAAGTAAAACTATAGAAAACAGACCAGTGATCACCCGGGACTATGGTGGGCGTGGGGACTTATTGTAAGTAAAAGAGCATGAAAGAAATTTGGGGGATAACAGAAATGTTCTATCTCTTGATTGTGGTGATGGTTATATGAGTGTGTACCTTTACCAAAATTCATTGAGTGGTACACTTAAGATCGGTAAATTTTTTTTCTAAATTGCATCTCAATAATGCTAACTAAAACAAACAAACAAAAAAACGAAAATAAATGAAAAGACAAGAAAAAAGGAATAAAGATAATAAAATAGATAGAACAACAAAAAAAAGCAAACAGTAAGATGGTAGGTTTCAACCCAAATATATCAGAATTACATTAAGTATAAACAGACGAAATGTTCCAAATAAATATGAGGAATAATAGGATCATGAGAAAAAAGTACAACTACATATTCTTTACAAGATTAGAAGCATAAAGAAATATATTAAATACCAACCAAAAGAAAGCTGGTAAAGCTATATTAATATTAGACAAAGTAGA